CTCCACTGACCTGTCAAAATAATTAAGCCCCCGATACTCCTGTGCGAGCTACTAACTCCAGATGCAAGCGGTCCATTGACCATAAAAAGAGTAAACAGGCGGGCTACCTCAGGAAGCCTAACCAAGTCCTCATCCCGCGTTAGGGCAAAAATCCGGAGGCTGGGACCAAGCAAGTGCCTGGTACCTGGACCCCCTAAGGATTAGCCCGACAGCTTATGTATCAGATACCCAATCAACACGTGCCTGTCGACCCACATCCTCTAAGTTCCGCCAACTAATGAGAGATCCATCCAAGATACGAAGCTACTAATCTCCAATCCGTCCAGCCACCACCAAAAGACTGAAATCAACATGGCTGGGCCACGTCGTGCTACCTCATTTTTTCTCTTATACTGCAGGGTCCCATACATTCCATTCCTTTCTTGCTCCGATATCCCTTGGAATGTGTCTGGGGATTTCGAGATAATCAACATTTATCGATGACCCTATTGAATAGCTTGATTGTTTACCATCGGTCTATTTATCCGATCTTCATCTGTCCTTCTTTACCCCTTCGATCTTAAATTCCGGCGAGCCTCATTCTACTCCTAAACTGCGAGGCAAATAATTGCATATATATATCTCTCGCCCACCAAAATGGAAAAGAACATCGCCATCGCCCTCATCATCATCATCCTTTTCCTCATCCTCGCCGCCGCCGGCTTCGGAATCTACGCCATGCAAAACCACGTCTCATTCTTCTCGAAGAAGCGAGCTGTCGACGAAGAAAGCGCAGAAGAAGGGGGATAAGTCTGCGACAAAATCTCCCGAATAGTGAATTTACCCAACCTTATCTGACGGGCGCACGATGGCGCGCAACTATCTATCCATCCATTCCTAAATACCTCGGGACGACCCGACTCGGGCACTGACTGGCACCCGAACACAACAAACATTCCAACCGGAATCTTACCCTTAATTTTCTCGGATCCTGCCGAGTCGACTTTCTTCTACTTTACGCTACACATACGACCTGTGAATCTCGGGGCTTGGTTATGGGATCTACGACTGCCATGCGAGGAACTTTTCATGCTGATTATGTTTATGGTTATCTTGATGTTGACGTCTTCTGGTTTGATATGAGTTTTATGTGGATTTTGGGTGTTGTTTTTTTTCTTGCTTTCAAATTGTTGTTATGGACTTTGTTGGAAAAGTATATGGTGTTCATTCATATTGTTCTTGTTATGTGGCTATATATTGGTTTTGGGATACGTCGAGATGATGTTATGATGTGTATATGTTTTTTATGTGGATTGATGGGATTGTATCAATATTTTGATTAGATTTCGAGACAGATCTATTTCTTTTGATGAGATAATGATATAAATTTGATGCTAGGTGTCGATTTTCAGGAGTTGTCGTAGATATAAAGAACTCAAATGTGTATCATTATATTTTATCTTAGCAACGCTCAGCATACATATACAGTCTAACTATCCGATGATTTTCAGCCCGCCCTTGGTCTTTCCAGGCTTTCTGATTCCATCTTGCTTGACCTTGCCTCCGCCGTGGCCGCCTCCCGAGCCACCCCCACCGCCGTGCTTCTTCCCGTTCTTTGAGTTAGCCACCGGACGGACCTCAGTAGTGGCGCGACGGAGCAGGACAGGGTGGGATCCAATATACTTCCCTTGCATTTCCCTCGCGGCTTTGAAATAGTCATCTCCATCGCTGAAACTGACGAAACCATATCCTTTGCTCTTCTGGGTGCGCTTGTCGCGGATGACACGCGCTTTCTGGACGGAAGTGTATTTCACAAACGCCTTCAACAGTGAGTCGTCCGTGACTTCGCCGGCAAGGTTTCCTACGAAAAGACGGAAATGTGCGGGATCCCATTCTAGAAGAGTCGAGTCGGTCCAGGTCTGGCCACCACCAGCCCGGGCAACGGTCTTCTGCGACTCGGCTTGGCCTACAACGGGCGCCGGGGTGGTGGCTGCCGTAGCGGTGCCGGAGGGTGTATTGACACCGGAGCCGGTGCCGGATACCGCGTATCCATCTCGGCGGCCAGGAACCTTGCTCGTCGCCTGTGCTTCGTCTCTGTTCGCATAGGCACTTTGCCACTGTGCAATCTGTGCTTCTGTCTCCGGATCTAAACCAGACTCATTGCGCCCATAGTTCCTCCCGTGCATACCATAATTGTTTGCTTGGTCAGCTCCCGCAGCGGGAAAGGGATTCTGAATCCGAGGCACGGACGGACCATATGTGTTTTCATTATACTGGGCAGAGCCATAGTATGAGGCTCCGCTTTGGTAGGTTTGTTGTGGTTGGGAATAGTAGCTACCGTAGCCTGCCGTAGTGGGAGTCGAGTATCCGGCTGAGGTGGCTGGCGGAGCGGATACGACGGGGCTGCTGGTACGGTAGGGTTGACTAGAAGCTACGGAGCGCGGCGCGAATGCTGTGAAAGCATTGTAGCCTGTCCGAGGCCCGCTGCCGCCATATCCATTGCTGGTCCCTGCGGACGAATACGATGGCGCAGCCGAGTATGCGGGCTGAAACGATGCAGGGGAAGGAGATGCTGTGTTTGGTGGCCGCGGTGGCAGCGAAGACGGTGTTTGCTTCAGACCTGGAGGTGGCGGAAAGGACATGATGAATGGAGAGTTCGAATAGAGACGATGGATGTGATGCGCCGTATGCAAATTAGCCAGACACGTACCTTCAGGGCTTGACTGACGTAGCAGTCTCACGCCAGACGTCACGCCTGAAAAGGGTTCTGAGTTCTAATGTAGACGGAAGATCGGTGTCCCGAAGGGGGTTGTATGGTGTCTGAGTTATATTGAGCGGTATTGCAATCTCACGGGATGGTTGACTTGTTCTCAGTACTGGATATCCCTTCGAGGTATGAAGTTGCGCCGAAGGGTCAGTGAATAAGTGACTTAAAAATAGGAATCAAAATGTGTGATTATTGATATTAAGGATCGGGATTGTTCAAATGTGAAATTCGAAAAATGACGTTGACCATCCAGATGTTAATCAAGATGCGAACGACGAAGGCTAAGGTTGCTTCAGGCGTTGGAAAAAAAGACCCAAATGGTCCGCCCGGCTTGCCGTAGAGATAGAGTTATCTACGGAGAAATGATGTTCCTCAGCCACAGATGGTGCAGCCACAGGAGCTTGATCAGCATTTTCTTCATGTCAGCGTCATTGTCTCATCAGCCCCAACGGATTTGCACCCCCACCCTATTCCTCTTTCGGCCAGGCAATAGCCGACCATTAATGTGATCAAGTGGTCCTAAGAGTGGGATAGGTAATCATCCCGTAAGCTCTTTAAATTATCCCACGGCTAATGGGGAGCGATTATCTACGGGGGTACACATTGATTGCCGACAGATAAGCCCGAAGAGACAAAATTCCGGAGGGGACAAGGTGAAGTCGTTGGTGTTGAAGGGTCGGACATGATTTGATCCGTGCCCGAATCTGCTTCACCGAAGGTACCTGACTTTTTTTTTT